GTGAAGATCAAGCAAACATTCAAAGCACATTAACTCAGATAGGGTATCTTCCTGCAAAAGAGGTCATATGTTCAAATCCACCCAGGGTGCACATTTTCTTTATTAAGTTTTCTTGAGTACACAGGCCAGTAGACTAAATAAATACTGTTTAAAATGAAAATGGAGCATCTACTTAAATATGGGTATTCACTAAAAATAACATTTGAAGTAATAAAAACGCTAACCTGGTCTAATAAATTTCTATTTCTCTGTGAAAAGATCACTCATATTAGATGTGATTAGAGCAAGTTGCTATAAGTGATATCAGACTTTGCTGAGTGAAACAAAACCTTGTACCAAAGATGTCCCCATTGAACAATCATGGTTAATGTCCTGATCTCAAAACCCATGGGTAGTGAGTTTTGTCTCTACTGAATCTTTTAGCAATACAAATTTGTACTGAATTTGTCTGAGTTCAAAACAAACACCAACAAAAATAGAAAGTACTCATGGTTGTTCAAGTGGTTAGTGTGAAGATTTCAGAAACCTTTAGGAGATTTTTTTTTGTGAATGATGCCCACTCTTTACAAGGCCCAAGAGCCACTTGAAGTAGAGGGTTACAGATTAACAGACAAAGTTTATGGGGATATGTGGTGAAGATAACAATTGACCCTAGACTTGAATATTTTAAGATTGAGGTGATCAGGGAAGCATCCTCTTGGGAGTTGGCTCCATAAAGCAATGGTTCATGGGAAGAAGGTGCTCAATTTTGACTTACATCTCACCAATTGAATACAAAGGAAATGAGGGTGATTTACTACAATGTGTTTTGCATGGTGGGTCTTAGCAGTGAAAGCTAAAACTGATGTAATGAAGGAATGTATCTTCTCTGAACACTTTCTATGGAAATAGCAATAGAAGAGCAAGAGACTTGCAATGTTTTGTCTGCGAGAAAGGGTTTGCAGGGTGGAAAATAATTTATCACCCACAAGGACATGGAGATACTTTTGGTTTCAGAGAGTTGAATCCTAGTGAAGTTTCCAATAAATATGACCTGGATTAAAATTAAAAGAAAAGCTTAACATATATATTCTTACATATTATAGGTTTCCTAGATTGACATCAGTAGCCAGAGTGGAGCATTCCTCCAATGGAATCATTGACCACATGTCCATAACCAAGGCAAGTCTTCATGTTGGAGGATATCAGCTGTGGTTTGACCTGAAGAGGGATGGGTTCCGTCAGGTCTATTTGCCCAAGACACTACACAGAAGGAAAAAAAGAGCCAAAATGCTATTGTATATTTACCACTAAAATAACAGGAATTTTGGTGTCCAAATTTCCAAACCCATAAGGCATGTGATTTCTGTAAACATGTCCCACGTGGGAACAGGGTACCCATTCAATACTACCACCACATTGCCAGATCTTTAAACGAAAAAGAAAATATTCAGTAAATAAAAGAATCATTGTGAAGCAATTTTAGAATAGGAGTAGTGCTACGGACAAGGAAAGGGAAGAAAAAGCAAGGAAGAGGAAAAGAAAATAGAGAAGGAAAGTGGAACATGAAGAAATAAGGAGGGGGAGGAGAAGAAGTGAAGAAAAAAGAAGGAAGAGAAGAAAAAGAAAGGAAGCAAGAGAAAAAGAAAATAAAGATGAAAGGAAATCAAAAATTATTATTAAATCAAAAACATTAACCTTTTCACTTAATGTTAATAATAACGGTAATATTAGCCGTTTCCTTATAAGGAAACATTCGGCATTCATTAACTGAACAGCAAGTGCTGCTTTCAATTGAAATCTATTTAATCTTTCTATTAAAATAATTTTCAGAAAAATAGTTTCCTCAGTTTCAGTTACTGTTATTGCTCTTTCCAGTATTGACGGGGGCTTATTTCCTAACCTTTTGTTCAAAGTAGTGTGGAAAGACAAAATCTTGACTATATCATTCTTTTCTCTTTGAGTTAAATGTGATATCCATTTTAGTTATTTCGGGTCTTGAAAGTCCTCAAGTGATGTTGTTTTTGTTTTCTGTGACATTTGTTTGTGATTCTATAACACTAGTCCAAAGGTTTGAAGAAGAATGATCCTCAATAAGACCTACAGGATTTATTCACTCAAAGCCATTTTTAATCATTGAGTTGAGAAAGTAGTTGTATATAGCTAACAATTTAAAGGAAGTATTTTATGACTTCTCTTTGACATATCTAAATTGCCAATAATGTTACACTTAACCTTTGGACTCCTTATTAAGTAAAGCTTAATTTTTTTTTTTGGTGGGGGTGGGTTGACTATGAGTAGCTGAAAATGCAGATAAGAAATATCTGCTGCATTTATTTACTTACCTTGAAAGACAGTTCAAAATTTTCCCCTCCCCATATTTGTAACCCTGGGTCATAGCCACCAAGTTCAAAGAAGTATTTTTTATTCATGGCAAACAGCCCACCTGCATGAGTTGGAGATCTGGAAGATAGGAAAAGAAACATTAATTTTTTTTTTTTTTTTACAATGATGTTCACTCTGTACAAGGTCCAAGAGCCACTCGAGGTAGAGTTACAGTGTAAGAGGCACAGTTTATAGGGATATGTAGGTAAGATAACTGTTGACCTTAGACTTAAACAGGCCAAGATTGTAGTGATTAGGAAAGTATCCTCTTAGGAGTTGGTTCCACAAAGCAGCAGTCCATGGGAAGAAGCTGATCAAGTGGAACTTACATATCACCAATGGGATACAAAGGGAATGAGGGTGGTTTGGTGAAATGTGTGTGGTATGGTGGGTCTTAGCTATGAAGATTAGAACTGACAGAATTAAGGAATGTAGTACATCTGAACACTTTCCATGGAAATAGCAATAGAGCAGCAAGTGGTTTGCCATGTTTTATCTTTGAGAAAGGGGTTGTAGGGTGGAAAATAATTCATCACCCATAAGGATGTAGAGACACTTTTGAATGCTATTGATACTGGAAAGTAAAGACCATGTATCTATATATATAAAGCAGAGGATATCTGTGTGTCTGTCTCTCTGTCTATGTGATACCTTTTCACTTGAGATCCATCCAACTGATTTTGACTAAACGTGGCACATACATTGTACAATATAAGAGATAGGTTCTTAGCATAAAATATCAATAATTTTTAAAAAATCAATAATTGATAAAACTGACGAAAAATCGATAAATTCAAGTTTTTTCCTCTGATTTTGTTCAATCTCGGTATGTAGGTTACTTACATCATGATGAGCTCAACACTACCTCATTTTTATTTCTACGCCACTGCGTTTAGCAAAAAACTGCAAAAAAAAAAATTGATTTCAACACAAATCTTAAACTAAAAACTCCCTCAATTTTCAAGTTATCTAATACAAACTTCACTCAATTATAGCCAGCAATAAGTCGATTGTTTAACAGTCATTTAACTTGATAATTGAGTCCACCCATATAGTGAAAACTTGCATAAATAGTGAAAAATGGCAATTTTACTGGTTTCTTTCTTATTTTTTGTTGATCTTTCAACCTATTTTCATCAAACTTAACAATTGCTTTACAAATGTATTCTCTTTTACCTCCCTGGTAGAATACTGAAAAATTGAATTTCAAAAACTCCAAAATAATTGTGGTCTGAAGTGGGTCTTCATATTGCCTGTTTTACCTCTTCATGTCCTTTCGATTGAATAAATACAGACTACTTCTGTTATATCAGTAACTGCATTCATTCAAAATGTTTTTTAATGAAAGTACTTTAAAGTAATTGTAGAAGATAGACATTGTTATATCTAAACATGATGCTATTTTTGCTCTATTCTAATTAAAAGCTTTTTCTGGTCGACCAGCTGGGTATGGCTGCTAATGTTAAATAAATCTTGAAGGTTCAGGTGGCCTAATAGTGTGTAGAATAGAGATTAGAAGTGGCAAATCAAATTTAGACCTTGGCTAAGGTAGTTTGTGTTCATTTTGCACAAATGACCTTGGGAAAGAACATGAATCTATTTCAATAGAAGGGTAATTGAAGCCGCTAATTTTTATAAGTTGGTTTATTTTAGACATCAGTCAAACACACTGGTGCCTAAAAATCACTTGCTACTGAAATGATAGCAGCACCAATTGGTGTGTTTACAGCGCTATGTTTTCCAAGGAGTGAGCAAGAAAAGAAAAAAATTCTTAAAGAAAAACTTTAAAAATCTATAGATTTCACTCCAAGCAAGGAAATAAAGCCACAAAGGCAAGGATACTAAGTGTGATAGAATATGAGAAAAAGAAAAACATTATTAATGAGGGAGAACAAGAAAAGAGGAGGAATTAAGGAAACAGAAGATAACAATTGACATTGCATTTAAATTCTGTAAGATTAAAGTTGACTGGAAAGCAAGAAGCCTGAAGAAAGTTCTACAATGAGAAGTGCAAGAGAAGAAATTTTTAGCATAGAATTTATGGAATTATTGCCGGTCTAGTAACACAGTTAAATTCATAAAGTCAAGGTACCAAGGATAAGAGCTTATCAAAACAAATACCATGAAAATATTTAAAGAAAAGGCACAGGAAAGTTATGTTACAGCAGTGGGAAAATAACTGAAGACCAGATGTCAGGTCAGGACCAATAAGACTGCGTAGAAGTGATGGATTTTTTTTATTTATTAATCTGTCAGATTTTTATCACTTTAAAAATTACTTTGTTTACGTTTGGATATGAAACTGAGCAATAATTTTGAAGAATCTATGACAAGAGAAATTTTGCTTAAAGACACTGTTCTGACCTTGCTTGACTGGTAAAGCTTCTTCATAGACAAGTAGGTTAAAGCACATTGGATCTAACAACAGTTTCCCTCTGACCAGCGGGACACAGGTTCGAATCCTGTCGGAGATCGCCTATTTTTCTTTAATAAGATTTCTCCATTATTCAGGCTGGTAGATGAAAATGATTATCTATCTATCTATCTATCTATTTCTTTCTATCTATATGTCTGTCTGTCTCTCTCTCTATATATATATATATATATATATATATATATATATATATGCATGTACATCCCCATTTTTCAAAATCTGATTAAATTACAAAAGAAAATATTATTTGGCCACTTTTCTTGGCCGTATCAACTGAGATCATTTCAGCATGCCAGAATACACACTCTCATATATATATATATATATATATATATATATATATATATGAGAGTGTGTATATATATATATATATATATATGAGAGTGTGTATATATATATATATATATAGTAATTTCTAAGTCTCAAACACTAATATTCCGTGGGTTATAAATTATTACATACAGTGTTTGAGCCTTTTATATTATATTCTTGCTCTGTCTTATACCTTGAACTCTACCTGAATTCTGTCTTCTTGGATATATATATATATATATATATATATAGAGAGAGAGAGAGAGAGACAGACAGACAAAGAGAGAGAAAGAGAGGGAGAGAGATAGATAATATTAGTGGTTAATATACACATACATATGCAATCATATATCTAAACTATATAAATATACATACATACATACATACATACATACATACATACATACATACATACACATACACACATATATATATATATATATATATATGTATAAAAAATAATTCCAAGAGGATAGAATCCAGGTAGAACTCAATACAGTGGTGGGAAAGTAACTGAAGTTCAGATTTAAATTTTGCAAAATGAATAAAGGTTCAAATTATAGTGAACACATTATTAAATCATATTCTATTAATTAATCTATTTCAAACCAAATAACCTTGTTTCATTAAAAATTTATTAATAAAATATGATATACCTATGAAGTGAGATACTGAGTGATTGACACTAAGCTCCATCTCTCTTTATATGCCATATCCCTTCAAGATGTAGGCAATCATGGCTTACCAAAATTTCCTGTTCTTTATAGTTCTTAATAAATTTTCTCTTTTTATTATTTCTCCTAAATCTTGTTCCACAACTCACTAAGCTCACTAAATAGATTATTCATTGTTTTCCTCTATCCCTCTTGCCTTCAATCTGTCCTGTGAGTATCAGATTTTCCGAGCCCTCCTTCCTCATTATGTATCCCAGATGTTAATTATAAGTTTACTTTTTGTTTCCATTTTCTCTAAAACTTTGTTGTTGTTCATATAATCAGTCCATAGTATCCTCAGCATTCTTCTGTAGAATCACATTTCTGTTGCTTCAAATATCTTCTTCCTCTTTGAGGATTATTAATTATAGGTTTCTAAAAAGTCCATTATTGATTATGGCTTACTAAAAACTCTAGTATTGATTTTAGGTTTCCGCCTATAGCTATTAATGCTCACTGTCCTGTTTGGAGGATAGAAGTTGTCATTATTTCATTAAAGTAGCCAGTTAGCAGTTAACTTGATCAAAAACTATCACTTCAGTTGACTATTACTGTTGTTATATCAGTTGATTTACCTTAAACAGGAAATGCAAAATGTTCTAAGTTTACAGACACATTGAAACACCAAGACTGATCAGTACGTAGATGGGTGACCACTTGGGAATACTAGGCGCTGTAAGCTTGGATGTGCAGGTGGTGTAAGGGATAATGGCTCAGAATTGTTAATCGGAGAGCCAAGTTCCAATTTAGTTGAGTTTGTTATATTCACTTATGAGCAAATACCTTGAGAAAGGTATAAATCAATCTCTTTTCCCTCAGCTATGGATTAATTAGTAAGATTTGTATCAGTAAATCATTCTTAAAATAATCTAAAAATAATTTCTGGCTTTAAATAACCTGAAAAAGGTTGATAACCCATAAAAAACAAATTAGTTGATCAATCAAAGACTGATTAGCTGCATAGGCATGTCTTTTAGATTTATTTACATTCTCTGGAATATAAATGCATAGAAACTACAATGGACACAAAGTGAGGGATCAGTTTATGCATTGACTGCAATATAAAATTGACCCTCCACTTTATATCCACATTTCTTGTTTATCAAATTTTGATTAAGTATGAATACACTTCTTCTCCACCCTGCCCCACCAACTGTGGGTTAATTAGTAAGACATAGGTACCTTCAAAAATTTGGTATACCTAAGGTTTAAAGGTATTTTTCATAAATGAAAAATCATTTTTTGAAGCTTCCCCCAGCTTCAGTTGAAAGCTAAAGGATTAATTTTTTTTAATTCCAGAAAACAAAACACTGTACTGTATTTCAAATAGAAATTATGATGATTTTTAGTTGATTCTTCTGAAAAACCACTCAAAATGACCATTTTTAATTCTTTTTAGAGAAATGTAAAAAAAAATTACCTTGTTTTAAAAAACCCACCTAAAATAACATATATATTTCTGAAACGTTACTTTTGTAAAATTAGCAAATTTAAAGTTAAATTAATCTCTTTTGAAACAAACATTACTTACTTATACCATAAAATTTTTTCACCACAGAGTCTTGCTTGTCTCAAGTCGCCATCGATAATGATGGCTGAATGTGTTAACCAGAACAGACACAAATTTCCAAATTCTAAGTAAGAACAGTTTGTTTTTGTTTTTTAACTACCAGGTAATGTTTAAAAATTAAAATATTTTAAGCAATTATCTAATATTTTACTGATTTTTTTTAGGTAATTTTGAAGATGCTTTCTTATAATAATTTAAAATACTGTAAAAATTTCTTAAATTATTCAGTTACCTCTATAATGGTAGATAATATGATAAATAATTTTATTAATTATTTTATTATAAATTATTACATTTTAAATTTAATAACTGATATATAATAATTAATAAAAATATTAATTATTATATTAATAATTAAATTAATTATTTTAATTTAATAACTGTTATAATTAATAAAATTATTACGTTATCACTTTAATAACTGAGAGTGAGATGATTTTTTAATAAGCATCTCACTCTCAAGTATCAATTATAATTAATAAAATTATTATATTATCTCAGTTCCCTAAGGAAGAGACAAGCCTTGAAACACATGACCTTTTAACCATAATATCACTTGTGAGACACCATACTAAAAAAAAATCTAATATTTTGACGCACAAAAAAAAAAAAAAAAAAAAATCATTAATTATGGTAAAAAGCTTTGGTAGCATGATTTGTATTAAGCTTTTAATTTTCATATAGTAAATATAGTCTTCACTTAAAAACTTAATAAACTACCTCGTACTCCGGAAGGATTTTAAAACATTTTTTAAAATTAAAGAAAAATGAAAAAACTAAAAGAAAAATGCAAACAATTCTTGTAAAAATTCTTTATTCATTGAAAAAATTTTTTATTCAAATAATAATGTCCTTAATGTATATTATTTATAAAAGCAAATAAAAGTATATCTAATTAGATAATTAGATAGTTTTAATGCAGTTTCTATTTTATGATTTGGAGCAGATTTTTAAAAAGTTGGCAGTAGTTGTGAAAAATAAATTGATGATTTACTTTCTCCAAGGAGTTTTGCTTATAAGTAATATAAAACAATTTGCAAACTGTTTGAAATTCTAGAAAATTTCATAAAATTAATTTGGGGGGGGGGGGTAACAGATGTAAAAAAAAAAATATTTTTACCAAGATTTTCTAAAAATAAAAATTTAAAAAATAAATTCATTCATTTTTGAATAAGTCCAAAAACTTTCATTAAAATCAGGCGATTATTTGATTTTTGCAAAATTTCCAAATAAATGCATTTCCCCTGCAAACTGCTACACTAAAATGGCCATTACCACAAGTAGTACAAAGTTGACAAAAAAAAAATGAGATTTTTTACCCAAATTTAGAATGTTAGAAAAAAGGAAAAAAAATTTTTAAATAATTAAAAAATACTTTGTTCTTTCCTCTTAATAATAACATAAACATTTTGACGATAAAACTTTGTTTTTATTAAGTTTGGGACCTTTTATCATTATGCTATACTGATTTTTAGCAAATTATTGGAGGTACCTAGATGTATCAGTAAATCATTATTATCGCTGAAAAAAATTCTCACAATCTAAAAATATTTTTTGGCTTTAAATAATCTGCAAACGGTTGATAAGCCATAGAAAATGAATGAATCAATCAATCAAATACTGATTAACTACACAGGCATGTCTTTTAGATTTATTTACATTCCCTGAAATATAAATGTATAGAAACTATGTTGATAAGCCATAGAAAATCAATCAAAGCAAACTTTGTAGCATCAAACCACTGACACAGTCAAAAAGCAATGCCTCCATGAAAGATTCACTATAAACATAACTGATAGCTACCCTGCCTAATAGCCAGGTGGTAGGATGTAAGCCTGATTAAGGACCCACAGGCACTGCTTTATTACACTCATTATTTTATCAACATTTGCTTTTTTTCTATCTTCATTTATATACACTACTAATTAAACTAAGCAGAACTGACTATTAAAGAATTTAAAATTTTTGCAAGTTTTCGTCGTTCTAGGGTCTTATTTTTCATTCAACTCTGTGAAATTGTTTTGCTCAAGCTAAGTCTTGAAAAAACACTATGAAATTCATTATTTTTATCCAAAATGTTGAACATGCTAAAATTATTCATTTTTTTAATAAGAAAAATCTCAAGTTGATGTTAAAAACATTGTTGATTTATTTAAGATGGAAGGATCAATTATGACATATCTCTAATTTGTATTTAGATACATTGTATTTATTTTCCATTTTTCTAGTAGAATTGTTTACATACACCCTTATGCAAATTAATTGAAACAACTGCTTTAGTTTCCTTTCTTTCTTTCACCACATGGTCACTGGAGTGACAGGGTGTAATTGATTTCTATTTTTTTCTCAGATTAGTTTATTTGCAGTGGTGTGAATCTATTTTCAGGATGTATGATGAAATTTGTTTGGCCTTGAAAAATATTGCATCATCCATGATTGCAACAGATTTTCATCATGCCCAAACACTATTGTCTCGACTGTCGATTAGTTGTCCTATGGCCTTTGTCTGCAATGGATGTTACTCCAAGGAAGTGTATGAAAATTGTAACACTGCACGAACATACTGGCAAGCCTTACCAGTGAGCAAATCAAAGTAGTATAGATTGGCCAGGAAAATTTCCTGATTTAAATCCAATCAAGAATCTGTCAATCTGCAAGAAACAACTTCGTGGAATGGACATACAAAATAATATGTACACTAGGTAATGTTTCAGTGGAAAAATATGAAAAAAAGTAAATAATTATTTGTTCTGTTTCAATTAATTTGCAGAAGGGTGTATATTGCGTATGATCCATTATTGTACATAATTAGTATACAATAAAATTTGTATTTTATACATATGAATATTACCTTATGTATTGAGATGTAGTAGGGTGGGAAGACCTGTTTAATAGATTGGGGTCACAAGACCCTTGTACCGGCCCTGTTAATAGCTATTGCATCTTTTACATGTACCAGGCCTGTTCATTGTCTACATGATTACTGCAGAACCAGCACATTAAATATTTGCTTTATTTTTGTTCTTACCATTTCCATCAATACATTTCAGGAAGTTGCTATGTTTAAAGAATGTTGAGAACTTATCACCAATGTACAGAGTTACCAAATAATGGTTTGAGACCCATCTGATCAAAACAACACAAAAAAAAAATCAGATTATTCCAATGTTACCTGTAGGGTTCACTTTGATGTTTTCTGCGATTGAGTTCTGTTTCTGGCACTGAACTTTCTTTGTAGAGAAATCCCCATTCAAATATTCCTCGGTAATGGTTGGCAGAGTAAACAGAACTGTAACTGAAGTCATCCCAGTTGATACTCTCAACGATAGGCACAGCCATGATGGTTCTATAGAGTAAAGAATTTAATTATTACCAAAAGTGGAATCAATGCAAAACCTTCATTAACCCTTCCAAGATTGAATTTATTTCGAAATTTTACCAGATTTAAAGTTAAGTTTAAATTAACTTATGTAAGTCACTCAGAATTTTAACACCATTATGTTATATTTATTGTGGTAGGATTAAGTACAAACAATATGGCTGATGGTCTTTTTACTTATGAATATCTGGTTATGATTATTTAATTGGAAGACAGAAATAATAAAAATTCTCCTATTATATTTGTCTGGTTGGATCTGAAAAGGGTTAAGCCTTCAGAATAATGGGGCTTAAATTTTCATTAGAACTTACTGAATTTCAAAGCTAAACTTTGGTAATTTATTAAAAAGAAACATTTACACATTGTATTTATTTTACCTGTTTAAAGCCAACTTAAAATGAGACCAGTTTAAAGCCAAATCAAAACTGTTTGAGCCAATTAAAGCCAAATATTTTACCAATTTAAAGCCAAATCAATATCCTCCCTCCTTAAAACCTACTTGAAATTCTATCACTTTAAAGCCAACTCAAAAGTCTACTAGCTTTAACCAATTCAGAATTCTACCAGCTCAAAGCCAACTCAGAATTTAGGCACCGTTTTCCTCTGGCTCTCTTGCCTTTAATGTGTTCTGTGACTATCAAATTTTCCAAGCCCTGTTTTTTTTGTTATGTGCCATAGAAATTTCAACTATCTCTTCCTGATGTTAAGTATAAGTATCCTTTTTGTTTAAATTTTCTCTAAAACTTTGTCATTGCTCATATGTTCAGTCCATGGTATTCTCAGCATCCTTCTGTAGAACCACATTTCTGTTGCTTTAAATTTCTTCATCTGTGAGGAGATTGTCCAGCATTCAATGACATATAAGAAAATTGATATTACATAACAGTTTGGTATTCTTTTCTTTGTTTCTAATAATATTTTCCTGTTTCTTAATACTTTGCTTAACTTTTGAAAACCATTTTTCACTATCCCAATGTGCCTTCAGATTTTGGTGACAAATTTTCTGTCCTCTTTCAATGTCACACTTTCTGTCCTCTGACCATTTCCCAGATATTTAAATTGTTATACTTGCTTGATTTTGGCATCTCCAATTTGTAATTTGCATGTTGGACTGTACATTTTGCTAACGACCATGTATTCTTTCTTCTTCTCAACTGATGTTTAGTCTTTTCTCCTTGCCTTCCTTAATTTACAAATATCTTCATGTTTATAAAGAGCACAGAAATAAATTGTTTATTAAAATCTTCCTTGGAACATAATAAATCAGAATATACCACAGACCTCAACTAGAACTTATATATATGAATTATTGATAAAGATGCTGGAAAAATGGTTGGTTCATTGTACCACTCTAGTAAGAATCTGCTAAATGTAGCGAGCCTCTTGCTGCTCTATTGCTATTTTTGTAGTAGGTGCACTGACTACATTTCTTAGTCCCACCAACCCTGACCTTTACAACTGGGACCTCCCATGTCATGTACACATGGATGAATCATCCTCATTCCCTTTGTATTCCATTAGTAAAGAGGAAGCTCCACTCTGACAGCTTCTTCCCAAGAACTGCTTCTTTGTGAAACAGACTTCTGACAGGATGTTTTCCTAAGCACTACAATCATGATCTCTTCAAATCTAGCGTTAACTGTTATCTTTCCTACATAAGCTTATGAACTGCACTTTTTGCCTTTTCTTACACTTATATAATACCACACAGAAATCCTCTACCTTGAGTGACTCTTTGGCCTTGTATTGGGTAAACATTAGTTTTAAAGGTCTAAATATTGTAGTTTAAGTTTATAAGACAGTATACAAATGAATGCATTTTATTAGAGAATAGATTAGATAAAAATTATTTAAATAAAAATTATTCAATTTGATTTCACTGTTATTGTTTTTCATTATTGTTTAATTATTTTTTAGTTATTATTTTCTTGACATTGAATTTACCTGTCATATCCAATCCTGGCTAAAAGTGGTACCAACCAATTGCGATTGCACTCACAGTGTGCATCTAAAAACACAATGACGTCTCCTGTTGCATATTTTGCCCCACGTGTCCGTGTTTGAATTAAGCCTTCTCGTTTTTTATTCCTGTACAATTTGACTTTATTGTTAAAATTAGCTACAATGTAATCCTCAAGGTTCTTTTGTAAATTTTCTGAAATAAAATTAAAAATAAAACATGTAAATAAAAAAACTAATTGAAAATAAATAAGAACAATAGATCAAAAAGAAAACAGAAACAACAGGGAAAAATACAATTTCATTCACTGTGGCTTCCCTCTGTCTTTTCTACAAATATTTTCATGGCAACTGCTCTGATGAGTTATTTTCACTGGTGCCCCAACTGCATGAATTTAAGCGTGCTACTAAATGTAACCACCTCTTCTACTCCAACAGCTTCTCTCATACTTCTCGACAATGGAACACCCTTCTACTTACTTGCCTCCCTGATAACTATAATCATCAAACATTCAAATGTAATGTCAATTGACATCTTCTAATGGCTTGATCTTGAGCCTTGTCCTTCTCTTTATCCTTTCCTCAAACACCTCACTTTACTCTTATTTTCACTCTCTGTAATTCCTTGCATGCTAGTGGCACTCCCGCCTTATATGGGTGATATACTTTAAAAAAAAAAAGTAGTTATATACACCCCACAACCAGTACCAGAAATGTGTTCTAGCCAAGTAAAGTGACAAGGCAGATAGTGAATTATGATTTTCTTGGTAGGCAGGTTTTCATTGTTTACAAAACTTACATTGGTATAATGATCATTACCCTCATATTTACATTGGTATAATGATCATTACCCTCATATTTACATTGGTATAATGATCATTACCCTCATATTTACATTGGTATAATGATCATTACCCTCATATTTCATACTAAATTTTGTCTTGTATTTATTCTCCTTCACAACATCAGCAATCATGGATTTCCATAATTTTCTATATTTGTTGCCCTTTGTAAGGTTTGTCTTTCTGCCATCAAACTCTTGTTTCAGCCAAACTTATACACAAGCTCACAAGTATGCTATGCACTGCTTTCCTCTGTCCCTCTTGCCTTCAATGTGTCCTGTGAGTGTCAAATTTTCCAAGTCCTCTTTCCACATTATGCATCCTAGAAATTTCAACTTTCTCTTCCTGATGTGAACTATTTCAAGTCATCTGCAAGGGAATTGTCCAGCATTCACTACAATATAGAAGGACTGATATTACATAACAGTTCAGTACTCTTTCATTTGTTTCTAATGAAATTTTCCTGTTTCTTAATACTTTGCCTAACTTTTGGAAGGCATATTTCAGTATTTCATTGTGCCTTTGGATTTTGATGTCACATTTTCTGTCCTCTTTTAAAACACTTCCTAGGTATTTAAATTTTCATACTTGCTTGATTTTTGTGTCTCCAATTCATAGTTCATATTTTGGGCTGTTCTTCTTGTTGACAACTACACATTGTGTTCTTACAATTGGTATCAAGGGAATAGCTGTCCTTATGACTCACTGTTTTTTGCAAACACAAGGATTAAACATTGCCGTAAAAACTTATGGGAATACTTTTATTAAATTTAACAATGAGGTTTATCACACAAGGTCCAAGTGACCTTATGTCCATGGAGCAACACAACTCAGTGCTGTTGTGTAGCTAAGAATCTTTCCTTTATTCAGTTTATATGGTGGAGAAAATATCATAGAGACAACATGTGAGGAACAAGGAAGTTTTAAAGAAAATGTACATAAAAGGAACATTTAAATATCTGTGATATTCATGAATGTTTGGGGAAAAATAAAAAAAAAAAATTGCTACTAGGTGGCAAACAAGATAGATACAAATGTCACTTTAGTCACATTGGGTTCATTTGTCAGAATAAGCATTTGAACTGTTAGGATAATAAAGAAAAGCAGGAAGAAAGGACTAATCAACAATTGTAAGAAGACAATATATGGTTGTCAGCAAGAGGGGCAGTACATGAGATGTGCTACAAATTGGAGATGTCAAAATCAACCAAGTACAGAAATTTAACCTTCTGGGAAGTATTTTAACAGATGATAGAAAATGTGACACAGAAATCTGAAAGCATATTGGAATAGCAAAAAATGCCTTCCAAAAGCTAAGCAAAGTATTAAGAAACAGAAACATTTCATTAGAAACAAAGAAAAAAGTGTTCATCTGCTATGTAATATCAGTCCTCCTATATGACAATGGATGCTGGACAATTTCTTCACAGAAAGGAGACTTTAGACAAAAGAAGAATGCTGAGTATGTCATGGTTTGAATGTTACACCTGCAATATGATTATTTTTTACAAAGTGCTCTATTAACATGAATTTTGACAAAAATTACTGGTCACTGATAATTCTTTTATTTCTTATTTTTAATGCATGTCTTCTGGAAAAAGCATTACTAAGGCATTTCTACATTAAATTTATTTTCAGTGTTTTTCTTCCTGATTTTCAATGTCTTTTTTTTTTTGTTTCTTTGTTTTTAATCGGTATCACCCCATGCAAGGCAGTAAAGCCACTAAGACACGAGGATAAAGAGTGTGGAAGAATTAAGAACAGAAACATTAATAATGAGTGGAAGGAGGAAAGAGTAATCAGGAGTCAGTAGACATTGCATTTAAATTTTTGACATTGCATTTAAATTTTTGCAGATTAAAGTTGGCTGGAAAGCATGGAGCTGGAAAGGAGTTCCACAAGCAAGAAGTGTAAGAAAAGAAACTGTTAGCAAAGGAATTTACGGTTACATCTAGCTAGTAAATTCGAGTATTATCTTTTTTTATGTTTATAAGTCGCTTACATTCTTCCGTTATTTTTTGTAGCATAATCTTCAGATCCTGTTCCATGATAGTGAGGATTCTTGATCTAATTTCTTTGTCCTTCGGTGTCGTTAGACCCTGCACAAAAATTAGACACTTGAACATGTCGCTTGACAATTCCTTTAATTTAAATGCTTCACACTGTGCGTTAACCATACCTGCATACGTGACAAAATCATCATCCTCTTGTTTTACGATATTCTGACACTTGTATCGTGTATGAAACAGATTATCTCTTTTATCAAAAATTTTTGACAAAATTTCTACTGTTTTGCTGAATGTAATTTCTTCTGGCTTCTTTGGGAGGATTAAATTTGTATTTCATATTCTCTTCTATTCTTAACTTCTGCAACAATAGAGTGATTTTTTCCTCATCGGACCACATCTTTTCATAAATATTGTTTCAAACCTATGAAAATAAGCCACTGTCAGGGTCGTATTTAAATTCAGAGAGTGAATTTGAAATTCCTTCAGCAGAAAAAAATCTAGAACTCAGTTCTTTTGTTGTCCTAGATAATATGTCTTCCCAAAGTGATTTATTGTCTTTTGCCTGTTTGAATAACTTTTCAAACCTTTCTTGTTGCTGAATAAAATGTTGTTGTTGTTGTTGGAATTGTTGTTGTTGTTGGCATTGTTGTTGTGGTTGGAATTGTTGTTGTTGTTGGCATTGTTGTTGTGGTTGGAATTGTTGCTGTAAAGTGACTTGTAGCACTTTCGTTAATTCCACAATTTGTTCCATTCTGCCAACGTATCCACAAGAAAAAAAATTTTGCTCCAATTTATGTAGACAATAAAATTTTCTAAGTCCAAACAAGAGGGGGGCAATTACTTACTTTTCTTTTCATACTGTAGCAGGTAGCCATAATGGACTGGTACTCGTCGTTGTCGTAGGCAATATGCTTAGGCAATAGTCATAAGCAATGGACGTAGACAATAGGTGTAGACCAATGTACCTCCACATCAGTCTGTATTTATGGCTGACACCAGCCAATCATATTACTGTGAGGGGGAACCCAGGTGTATGTATATTCATTACATCACAAGGCCACAACAATAGTAAAATCATCAGCAGTACTTCTTTTTCTTCTATCTGCTATGCCCCTTTAGGATGTTGACAGTCATGGTTCTCCACAATTTCCTGTTCTTTGTAGCTCTTAATAAATTTTGTCTTTTTGTTATCTCTCCTAAACTTTGTTCTGCTATCTATTTGCATATGCTCACTAAGTAGGTTATGCATTGTTTTCCCAGTCCCTCTTGCTTTCAATAAGTCATGTGATTATGAAATTTTCCAAGCCTTCTTTCCTCATTATGTACCCTAGAAATTTCAACTGTCTCTCTATAATGTTAAATTTTGTTTTCATTTTCTCTAAATCTTCATTGTTACTCACATTTTCAGTTGGTGGTATTCTCATCATCCTTCTGTAGGATCACATTTCTGTTTCTTTCAATCTCTTCTTCAGATTTGAGGAGATTGTCCAGCAATACCTAACTTATTTTTTTTTAAAGCAATTCACTCCAAGCAAGGTGGGAGTGCCACTAGCATGCAAGGGGTTACAGAGGCTTGAGAACAAGAGTAAAGAGACATGTTTGAGGAAAGGATACAAAGAAGGACAGGGAACAAGATCAAGGTATCAGATGTTGATTGACATTACACTTGAATATTTGAAGATTATAGTTATCAGGGAAGCAAGCAAGGGAAAATGGAGTTCCACAAACAGGAAGTGCAAAAGAAGAAGCTGTCTGAGTAGAAGAGACAGTTACATTTAACCATTTCGACAGTGAAAGGGTGGGACCGAGATGCCAGCCTAGTAGCTCGCTTAAATTCATGCAGTCTGGGAATCAGCAAAAGTAGCTCATTGGAACAGTTGCCATGAAAATACTTGTAGAAGAAACAGAGGGAAGATACGGCCTGTCTGTGAAAAAAGCTACTGTAGACAAGATGCCAGATAAGGACCTATCACATTGCATATTCATCTCTGGATTTTGTTGAGGTCTTCAAGACAAACAGCAGGAGCACTAGACCATATATGACAGCAATATTCCATGCAAGGACAGATGGTTGAGTTATAGATTGAAGAATGGACTCAGACGAGAAAAACTTTCTGCCATGACATAGAGAACCAACTTTCCTTGTGGTAGATGAAGCTATTGATTCAATGTATTTATTTCACCTCATGTCAGCAGACAGCATGAGACCTATAGCTAAATCATTTACTTCATATTTACAATAACCATATTCTGACAATAATGCTTACATGAATTCACTGTCACATTTTTTTTTTCTGATTTTCAAAGAACAATGACAAAATCATTTGACAATGTATGGCACAAGGATTTATTTGAACTTTTCAGAAAACTAGATCTATTTGGAAAAGATGTTACAATAATCCAGACCTTATACTGGAGGTAAACAGCCTGCATATGGATAGAAAATAAATTGAGTAGCTATACAAAAATAGAAATGGGTGTAGAACAAGGGTACATTTTCTCCCAAAATTTATCCAACACCATCCTAAGAAAACTGGAAACCCTATCAGGATTTATTATCAGTGGGTGTAATCTTATTAATATAAGTTACACAGATGGATCTGTGTTGATGGCTGACTCAGAGAGATAACAACAGGACCTCCTAGCCAAGATGGTAGAAAAAAGCAAGTAAAATAGACTAACCCTTAAATGCAAGAAAACAGAAAGTATGGTTATCAGTAAGAGAAAGAGCTTGAGATAATGGTTATCAGTTGAAGCTGAGAAGTGTTTTAACAGATGATAGAAAATGTGACACCAAGATCCAAACATGCATTGGACTAACAAAAGATGCTTTCCATAAGCTAAGCAAGGTGATGAGAAATGGAAAATTGTCATTAGAATCAAAGTAAAGCATGCTGGATTGTTAGGGATTTACTTGACTCCCACAAGGTCAAGATGTGACACAAGGTCGATTAACGTGGGAAACCCAAGTGTTTCCACTCAAAGGCCACTGGTCAAAATTGGTCATAGCATGTCCAAGCTGGTCAGAGCTTAGTCAAAGCTGGTCATGACTTGTCCTAGCAAGTCCAGGCCGGAGCCAGTCCAAGCTAGTCGAAGCCTTGATCGAATCTCAGCCATAGGCCAAGAAACGATCCAATATTTGTCAAAACCCCCAGCATAACGCCAGGTAAGTGGTATCCATTCTCTTATATGGCAGTGAATCTTGGACACTTTCCCCACAGATGAGGAAAAAAACTAGAAGCAACAGAAATGTAATTTTACAGAAGGATAAAGTGAATAAAGCAACAAGGAATTCTTAAAGAAAATAACAATAAAAAGAAAAGATAACTGAATTACTGTGGATACATAATGATGAAGGAGGAGGAGAACTTAATCCTCATGGGGTATATTGAAGGAAAGAAAGAGGAAGGCTAAAGAGAGAGGAAGGCTAAAGAGAGAGGAAGGCTAAAGAGAGAGGAAGGCAGCAACCCAGATACCTAATACCGATGTCAGAATAGGTAGAAGAATAAGCAGCCTTAAGAAAAGGAGAAAAACTGCAAATGGCCACAAAGGAAAGGATATTGGGGAGAGCCATGTTTATCTATGCCCTGAAAGAGCATGGCACATAGAAAAAGAAGAATTAAGAATAGGAAGATTGATTGCCAAAAATTGCAAGAATAAAAATTCAAGATTTTAAAAAATTTGCAAAATTTAGTTGTTAAAATTATCAAAATTGATAATTTTTGATTTTGTCTAAAACTGATTGATTCATAAAATATATTCTGAAAATGTGTTTACTATAATTGGGATTTGTCTAATTTTTTTCTTCATAAACACAACAGTATAAAGACAGAACTGAAACAATGTTTCATTTTGAAAAACACTTTGTATATATTTAGTACATGTATTAAATAGGAAAATAACCAATGAATTTGGGCATTTTACCAAATCTAAATTTACACAGAATTTTTAAGTTTTTCTTCACAAACACTTCAGAAACTGAATTATCAGAAAAGAAGCTTAATTATTGCCAACTTACCTTTACTACTTTTATCATCAACCATGACAACTTCTTTGAGAAGAGATGGAGGTGAAGTGTTGATCACACTATGAACAGTTCTCATCAAAGTAGAGAAACCTTCATTATGAAAAACAATAACCACACTAGCAGTTGGCAGTTTGGAAGCTTCAGGATAATGCCAATATTTGCACCTGTATCAAATTTAAAAAAAAAAAAACTCCTTTAGTTTTAACCAGTTTGGTAGATTTTCATTAATTTTATTTTAAGACCCAATATTCATGGGACTATCTTATTACAATTTTGTTTGCCCCTCCTTTAGTTCCTTAGCATGTATATTACAACCCTGCCAATACCTTAGAAAAATGTGAAAGAAGGAAAAGAGATGCTGTTTGGTTTCAGTGAGAAAAAGAAAGAAACACTGGTAACTCATAAATAATGAACTATTCCATTTTGATCATAACGAAAGATGAGAAAGGCATATCAAGGATACTCCTTGGTTCCTGTGAAAAAATGAAAGAAAGGAAGATGAAAGAGCCAAATACACTCTCATGGATCTAATGTCTTGTTTCACTGAAATGGAAAATGTTATCAGTTTCTAATCTATTCATTTGTACCCTCTTACTTATGATTGTTATAGTTGTTAAGCTCAAATATTCAATGATGAGATGGGGGATTTTTATTGATATTTTAGTGTCGTAGAACTTGCTATGTGCTTATTCAATCATTAACTTAAGAATTAGGATTCATCAGAAAATTCAAATAGGAAAACCATGAAATTTTCACAGGTATTTATAGTTTAAAATAAATGTGAAAATGAAGAAATGTAATAAAAAAAATAAATTTATAGTGTCATTAAAAAACATCTTGTCACTTCTCAGTTATATTCTTAAATTGAATGCTCATAGAAAATATTTCACCAGTTCCTATAATTATACTTATTATAAAACCTAGGTTGTGCGTGTGTGTGTCTGTACGTTTATATATTGAATCGGATTTCCTACATTTTTCAACCGATTTCAACAAAACTTCACAGGACTATGTAAATTTACCTTGCGGTGGTTCTGACAGCACCAAAAATTGGAAAAACACAATTGTTTTTGCACAAAATCAATTTGAAAACATGATTAAGAGGCATCACGAGAATGAAAGGGGGACAACTCATATCAAGTTATACTTATTATAAAACCCAGGTTGTTTGGATGTGTGTGTGTTCGTTTATATATGGGATAGGATTTCCTACATTTTTCAACCGATTTCAATTTCACTTTTTTTTTTGGCAGGTAGTGTTTCTTATTGTCTTGCACACTTTTTTCTTTATTTTTACATTCGGAATGCTTTAAAAATTCCATTTACAAGACAATTGTTTATAATAAAATTCTATTCAATCGGTAGGCTCATAATAATTGAAAACAATGTTTTTGTTTGAGTTTGCGTTTGACCAATTCGTAAAAAAAAAAAAAAAAAACTAATTAAGACATGCGTGTCCGTCAACCTTAAACAATAATCTTTGTCAATTTTATTTTTCAGTCTTTATGATGGTCAATACTTGCTCTATCTTTTACTGTTACATCTCCGGGCAATGCCAGGCTCTACTGCTAGTTTCTTATATAAAGAACATATGTTTAGTTTCTAAGAGACAGAAGTTGATATGTTGCCTTTACAGAGTCTTAATTAATCTTGTATTTTATGCTGTATTATATGGAGTTTTGTTTGATTTAGCATTTAAAATTACTATTTAAAAGTACTTATGCATTATTTTGGTAAATAAAATTAAATTTATTAAGTAAACAAATAATAAACTGAAAAATAAGGTTATTTATTAAACTGTTACATTAATTAACAGAAATCAAGGTAAAAAATCACTGAGAATAGCCTCATTGCTAAATTTCTTTAAATAAAATTATGAAATGAATTCATAAATCTATCAGAAAAAATATGAAACATACCACAAGACACACGTGCATAGAATAGCAGTAAGCATGTTAAAACTAAGAAAATACAATAGACTGGGTTTGTATTTGTTAGCCATATTTTGCTTCCTTTAAAATCTGACTGAAGTTGAAGTATTTATAAGAAGAAATATAATAAAATGACAGTAATAAAAATCGCAACTATTCCATACATGTAAAATTATATAATTTAAGACATGGACAGATGAAAAGAATTTTTGTTGATAAAGAGTTCAATAGATGTCTAGAGCAATAATTATTATATCAAAATATTAAAAATTCATAATATTTATCAAAGATTGACTCAGAATTTTACTATGTTTCACTCTTCAGGATCCAGATAAGAATATAAGAATAAGAATATTACAATATCGAGATCCTGAAGAGTGAAACTGTTGGGGCGCACCCACCTTCTGATCAGAATGGACTGATCTCTCTACTACTAATAGGACAGTCCTATAGAGTTCTGGGGAAGATCAGGTGACCATCACACTTCCGTCTCTCTACCGGAAGATACAGTTGGACTTTATACTCTTTTTGATTGTTACTGACTAACCTGAGTTCGTTTGACTACTAATCTCTCTGTTGTAAATACCTCTTCATATATACCAGTATTTTTCCCTACGTATGTGTTTGTCCTTATTTCAATACACGCACGCGGAAACACTCAACATCTCAACAGAAACATAGCAAAACTCTGAGCCAATCTTTGATAAATATTATGAACTTTTAATATTTTTGATAGAGTAAGAAGAAGTATATACGGCAAAGGAATAGAGGTTTATAATGTAAGTATCTGTTGTATTCGTTACAGCAGAACATAGACTTACTCATTCATCCGTGTGTCAGGAATCTTTCTATCCATGGCTATCTTGTTACTGGCCACTAAATTAAATCCATATTCTTGGACAGAAGCATCAGCCAGCAATTTCTCACCCATGCTGGTGTAGACAGGCTTACCATTTTCTCCTGCAGATGAATCGTAAAAAAAAGAAAGTAAATTTTTTAACTCAAGAACAGAATCTTGGGGGCAAAAAAATTACAAACAAATACTGGTAGATTAATTTTTGAAATAAGAATAAATGTTTCAAGATGTGAGAAAGAAAAAGTTTGTAGGTGTACAAAAAAGATTTTTACTTTATATGATTTCAAATTTTTTCAAGGAAAATTTAGAGAGAGGAAGTTTTTCTCTATGGTACCTAGACTTTATGAATTTAATCACAGTACTACATTGGCGGTTCTTTACAGCAGCAAATGTTGGACAATTTCCTCAAAGGTGAAGAAGAGACTCTAGACAACAGAAATGTGGATCTACTGAGGATATCATGGACCGAGCATATGAGCAACAATTAGGTCTTAGAGAGGTTGCAAACAAGCAGGGAGCTTAAACTTAACATCAGGAAGTGGCAGCTGAAGTTTATTGGACACATAATGAGGAAGGTGGGCCTGGAGAATCTGATACTCTAATAGAGGGAAAGAGAGACAAGGGAAAACAATGCATGTCATACCTGGTGGGCTTAAGCAAGTGGGTGACAGAAAATGATGTGGGGGAGTAAGCAGAGGGAAGGAACTTGTTGAGAGCTTCAAGGGATAGAGGGAGATGGAGAGCCATGATCGCCTACATCCTGAAAGGACATGACACATAAAAAGAAAGAACTAGATTGGTGGCAAGGTCTCAACCTTTTACAGTTGAAATTGTTAGATGTAACCCTAAGTCCTGTGCTAACAATTTCTTCTCTCACACTTCTCGCTTGTGGAACTTTCTTCCAGCTTCTTGCTTCCCAGTCAACTTTGACTTAATTCTTGTTCTTTTATTATCCTCACTCTTTAATATAAGTTTTTCTTGTGTTCTCTGGCACTCAGTAACCTCTTACATCCTAGTGGTTTTATTGCCTTGCTTGGGTGAAATGATAAAAAAAAAACAGTAAACAATAAGAACAGTTGGAAGGGGAAAACAGAAGGGGTAAGTTGTAGTGCTGAAAGGATAATGGAAAATATCAAAGGGAGAAGCAGTGCAAAAAATATCAAAGACAGAGGGATGGAGAAATCATCAAGGTAAAGGGGATGAAGAAAATATCTAGGGTAGAGTGCAAAAGGGTTGGAAAAGATGTCAGTGGGCAGAGTGTAGAATAGGTGAGAAAACATCAAGAACAAGGGTAGAGTAGATGGAGAAGAGAGAAAGGGTAAAGCGGGTGGAGAAAACAGCAGATGTAGATACATGTGGGAGAATAAAGAAAAACACATCAAATGGTCATTACGCAGTGAAGTGAGAGAAAAAGGACTTAACCAATATTAATGGCCAATAAAAACCAATGGAAGCAGAGGGAAATCAAAAATTCTGAACAGAGAAAGGAAAAAAAAATTAATAAAGAAATCAAAGTTGTGGCAACACACATTCTTGAAAAGAAATAAAATAAAACAAAAAAACACCACTATCACAGGCACTTGATTATAATTTGCCTGAATCATAGTTCAATTCAACAAAAGAAATCCTGATATTTTACAATCAACAACCAAAATAGGAAATTAATATTCTAAGACAGACTAAGGCAAATTGTAACAGTTGTCATTGATCTATTACTTGTAATTTGACAAGTGAAACCAAATATGACATTTCAGTGTCCAGGAAATGGATTTATTGACATTCAGCAGACATGTTGGTATCAATAATGATAGTATAATAAAAAATAAATAATTCTTGCTAAATTGCAAATGCCAGATAACAAGTCTTGCATCAGAAATGTTTCCAAATATCTTTTTAAAAATTTAAAAACAAAATCTGTACATTTGTGGATGCTACTTGATGAAGCAATAATGAAATTACAGAAAGATTCCCTGAGCCGGTCATTTCTCCTTGCCATCAGCATGACTGGTGCTAACCTCCAGGAAGGAAACACTTTGTGCATTCTTGGGCTCATGTTTTCTACTGACATGAAGAGGGAAGATTATATTATTGAAGATCAAAGTTGACTTGTTACTAAGGAAATTACGGTTACATCCAACAATTTCAACTGCAAAATTCTTGTGAGGGAGAATATTTCCCTACAAGTTTGGACTTGGCCGTCGAACAAAAGACATAAAAATATTCCTACATCAAGAGGAGTAGCAGTAGCTTTTGCAGTAAACAGTCATTCACAACTAAACATTCTCTCCCATAGTTTCTATTCAACATTATATTTCCCTGTACCAAAAGGTAATAAACTTGTTATTAAACCAATTCCAGTTTTCTACTGTGTTTTTTGATAACTAAGTTACAACAAAAATGATGAGACCTATCTGCCAATCTAGTATTCTACTTAAATTTGTAAAGCCTAGGTACTAAAGTGGAAAACTCATCAGAACAACAACATGAAAATATTTATAGAAAAGGTACAGAGAAGCTACTGAGAAAGTGACTAAAGATGCCAGATCAGGACCAATAACATAGCAGATTTTAGCAAGAATCTCTAAATACATAGCAGAAGCATCAGATCAGATATGGCAGCAATATTCAATGTGTGGATAATTGGTAGACTTATAAATGTCTAAGATAGATTCTGACATGAAAAATATTTGATAAATAATATTTTTCCAGGAGGTTATGATAAGAAAAGCAACAATAAGATGGAGTAAAAAAAATTAATACCAAAATAATTGTATTAAGGAATGGGATATCAATTCAGAGTATTGGGATAAAAACAACAATATTATGTTATAAAATAACTACCAATAGTAGGCATCTATTTGTCTTGTGTGATAATGGTAACACCCCCTGTTTAGTCAAAATTCAATCCTCTAGTGATGAGACTGGTGTGACCTCTCCAGAGCACAATGTCTGAACAATGATATATGGAGGCTATACACTGCCCAGAGCACATGGCTCTCCCCTTCAGCTATACCAACAAAATTTGGGGCCAATTGGTTGCAGGTGTTGCCAGAAGCTTGTCAATGTTGACAGCAAACCAACTTTGGGGCTCCACTTCAGATTTTCTCTCTAGATATACTTTCAGAACATTTTCCATGATTGGATATGGGTACAAGGCAAGTGGAGGTTTAAAATAATGATTTTCCTTCTCCTAAATGGAATGCCTTCCTGGGCTGATAAGCTCCAGCTACCTGAGGCAGCTGGTCATGAGATACCAGTGGTCTCCCTTTGTTCCTTCTCTAGCTTGTCAGAAACTATTTGAGATGCATGCCATGGGAGCATTTTATAGAAAGTGGGAGCTTGTCCCCACTACCACCCATGGCTGTGCCAACTTTTGAAGCTTATACTATGTACAATAAATATTACATACATTACATGTTTTAGAAACTCCCCAAAATTAACATTTATATATATATATATATATGTGTGTGTGTGTGTGTGTATATATATATATATATATATATATATATACACACACACACACATATATATATATATATATATATATATATATATATATATAGTTAAGTTATGAAAAAAACTTGGTAATCCGTATAGGTAGTCCCAAGGAGGATGAAATCCTGAGAGCTCAATGTAAATCCAGAGCTAATAATTTAAAGAAAAACAGACCACTTTAAGGTTCCATTATAATAATTTATTTTACCAGAGCCCTTTTAAAGGACACTGGATCATCAGATAACACTTCCAAAAAATGAAATGAAAGATGAAATGAAAATTCACACTTTTGACGGGTAGTATTAAGTTTATGTAATTTAACAGAGAGGGTAGCGAGGACTGGTGTGAGATACATGGTCGAGTTTAGAGAGGGTTTATTTTAATATTTCTTTCAATCATACTTGGTATTGGGGGAGGAGGGACTGGACCTTGACCTATTTAATCGGTTAACTTAACAGAACTGATATATTGAAATGGGAGGGGAGAAGAAAGAAAAAGAAAGAAGGGGGAAGTAAAGAGAAAGAAGGTGTAATTAGGTTTTATATAGGAAGAAGAGGGGTGGTATATTTTTAGCAATTTATGTAAAAAATTAATTTTAATGTTTGATAGTAATTCAAATGTTTAAAAAAAAACCACGAAGAAATTAATTTGATGCTTGCTAGCAATTTAAATATTTAACTCCTTTACAAATAATTTAGAGATTTAATATAAGTTAAATACTGTATTTATTAACACATTCATAGAGAACACATTAAAAGAATTTTTAAAATGTAACAGTTTACTGATAGTAATCTTTTAATATTGTAAATGACTGTTAAGGTAACATCTTTATCAGTTTGAATCTAATTCATGAATGTAATTTGTAACTATTTTTAGATGGGTAATCTTCCTTACTTAAAGTTTAGGCTTCAAATTAAGATGGAGTAATATTTGAAGGTAATATTAAAGATTTTGTTATATATATATATATATATATATATATATATTTAGGCAGAATATCTTCATTCAAACATGTTTCATTGAATAATATAGACATATTATGTCTATTTATTTTTATAATAAACCTTTCAAGTTCTCTAATTATCTTCTTGTTTTTAAGATAAAATTCATCAAGGAAGTTGCTGTAATTCTTGTTAACCCAAGTAATTTTTGATCTCCTCCAAGATGGTCCTCAAGGGTGAATTGTGAAGACAAACTTAATGTAACTGTGATCATGTAATGGTAAGCTAACCACAGATGGTAAAAATGCAACATGGCATTAAATGTTAGTCAAATGCATTTTAAAACATTGCTACAACATTTGTAATAAATTTTGTTCAGTGTTGGTTGATTGCTTTTGATTAAGAGGGCCTCAAGAATTTGAAGTTTTGTTTATTAATTTCATGGTGTTGTATATTGGTGTTGTCTACAAGTATTTTCCTGTATTGTGAAGGTGGACAGGAATGTGTCTTTATATGTTGGGCAATAGAACTTGTATCTTTATTCAATGAATTTCAACTTAACATCAAGAAGATAGAGAACTAGATAGGATTATTATAAAAATAAATAGACATAATATGTCTATATTATTCAATGAAATATATATATTATAATATTTTTATTATATTTT